CCAGCCCGCTCAGAGATGTGTATAAGAGACAGGATGAATACGCGTTTATTCGTCAATCTTCAAAAATTAATGTCTGGTTTACGATTGCGAATTTTGCAAAATGGTAGAGGACTTTTCGATTCAGTTTAGTCCGTTCTACCTACCCATGAACGGTGATACACCTATTATGAGACATCCTGTATATATATATATATATATATATATATTATATATCGACGATGTACAGGACGTTTCGTATACATTCCGTCTAAAAGAAACTAACAATGAAGATACAAATTAAGAACGGAAGAGATATATATTGAATGCTCTATATATATGTATCATTCAATATATGTCTCTTCCGTTTTATATTTGTATCTTCATTGTTAGTTTCTTTTTCTCTCTCTCTCTCTCTTCATTCTTAAGTTATCGATCACACGGGATGTACGAATAGAGGCACGGTGTCTTCGGCGATCGATTGCACGTGAAAAGGTTAAAAGACAGTTATTTTAAGAATGAAGCGGGACCGATTTAAGTTCTTCGATTTTCTTTTCGCGGAGCCACAATGGCTATCTCTCGTCGTTGCAAGTGTCGTTCGCGACACTGGCAACGTCCGAGAGCAACTCTCGAAACCGATTAAATTTCGAAGTTTACGCGCGCTCACCCGGTATATCGCGCTCATCAGCTGATCGACCACGGTGTGCGGCGACGGTGTGCTGAGCCACGTAAACACAATTCTAACCTACATGTATGCCAGCGTTAATAATGCCCGTGCCTGCAATCGTGACGTTGTGGCAAATGAGATGGACGGTGTAATTGCCGATTTCGTCGGAATTGTATACGCACGACTCGTTATTCCACGTTATACGCGCCGAATAACGAGTCACGTTCGCAACATTCTGGATGTGAGGTTAGATCGACATTGACAGTCGGGATTTAAACAAGTGTCTTGTGTCTCTCTCTATCTCTTTCTCTCTCTTATCAATGAACTTTGTTAAAAATCTCAGGATTCTCAACTGAAAACTTTATTGTCGTTACTCTTCAATCCGAGTTAAACCACTTGCTGTCGTAACTCTTTTGTAAATGACGTAATTGAAAATAAGAGTTTCTTGTGAACAATGTAAACTGATCGGAAGATCATTCGTCATTCTTATGGCGTTAGAATAAAAACGCGTAAATCGCGTATCTTTTAAAGCATGCGTTTCCACTTCGTATTTATCATTGCAACGTTTGGTCTTGCAGAACTTCTGGACAATCTAAGACCAGTGTCACCAAAGCCCGGCCATATGGAGCGCATAAAAACACCCCTTGGAACTTCCGGCGCGACTGCGGATGAAGATGAGCAACCGTTCAGGGAAAGATTTTTGAAAATTAATGTCAGGCACATCACAGATGGCCAGGTAATTGTCTCTCTCTCTCTCTATGCTATGTCTCTTATTCTGATTTTTAACTTTGATTTTTGTTTTTACTTGTATTTTATTTTATTATCTTTATTTTTCTTTTTTTGTTATGTTTTTGTTGCATTCTATCTCAATTTATATTGTATTGTTACGCATAATTTGTTCTTTACTGCTTGTATGATGTCTTAGCGCTTTAGAGGACTCACATCCTGGAGCGCTCAATAAATAGCGAATTCATTCATTCTCTCTCTAATACTTTTTTAACATCAGTAAATTCCACACGAGAGTTTTAATCTGTTTCTGTTGAAATACTTCTTCCAGGGTGTAGTCGGCGGTGTGTTGTTAGTCACGCCAAACGCAGTTATGTTCGATCCAAATGTGTCGGATCCTCTCGTCATCGAGCACGGCGCTGAGTCTTATGGAGTGATTGCCCCAATGGAGTTCGTGGTCAATGCTGCGATTTACTACGATATCGCGCACATGAGGGTCTCCCATGCCGAATGCGGACATTTGGACAAAAAGCCTGAAATTTATTACATGAAGAAACCCCAAGTAGACAATCGTAAATGTCAGTCTCCTGGGAAAGATGAGAATTTTCCCGAACTGGCAGGTGACGACAGCGAAAGTGTGTGTAGCTGCGCCGAGAGAGACGGCGACGCTTTTCCAAAGGCCTTCGAGCGAGAGCTTGTTACTCCAACCAATCTCCAGGGTGTACGTATCCCTCTGTTGTAATGTCGGCGGTTTATTATGTAAAGCAGTGTTTAAAAAAAAAATTGTATTTTAATGATATTATTACAGGAGGAGAACTCAACTTCGACCAAAGATAAAGAGAAGGAGAAAGACGGTAATGAGAAGGAAGTTTGCACTGGCGGCCAAGCTAGTAGAACTTTAGAGGAACGCAGACGTTCCATGCTTGACCATCATTGGGCAGTTCCTAGCAAAGATCGGAGTACGTTTTCTGTTGACGACGAGCAACAGGATTCATTAAATTCTGATAAGGTACTTATATCTCTATCGTGATGTGGACATATTGGTTGCAATACTTTTTTTTATAGGTTGTTAGTATATATTTAATATATATAATATATATTTTATAGGTAACTAATATTTTACAAATGTGAACCACGATGGTGGTTACTATCTTTAATCTAGAGATAGTACACCAATCGTGGCTCGCATTTGCAAAATATTAGTGCAAAATATAGTTTCGAAACCTATTTAAAAAAAAGTGTCGCAACCGATGTTGTCCACGATTGTACATAGTACGGAGAAATGAAATTTGAGATCAAGATACACAGAACAAAAATTTGTAAAAAATTTATATGAAATTGATTATTGCAGCCGGCGGAACCAGCCAAATCAAATGCCATTCCCGAGGACGAAGAAGGATCTCTAGTCAAACAGTCGTGCCATGATTCTGGTATTGATATCCGTGATCCTAATCCACCTATTCCGGTAGTGCAGCCTATACCGTCGAAAAAGGTTTACTCGGATGCGGATATTGTTTTATCCTCAGATTGGGTTCCCCCGATAACGATAGCACCAACGAATGTTACGAGCACGTTGGAAGCCACTTCGGCTATTAATGGCAGGAAAAAAGCCAGCTCGGTGTCTTTCAGCTTAGAGAGTAACGCAGAGGAGCCCGAGAAGGATGAAGAACACAAGGAAGATGATAAACAGGAAACTCGAAAGAACAAGGTGCACATTTAAATTTAATCGTTTGCATCGCAGTAACGTGGTATTATACTTTTTATAGATATATTTTATGTATCTGGTTTGACATTTTAGATGCTAAAACGTCTGTCATATCCATTGTCCTGGATGGAAGGTTTAACTGGAGAGAAGGATGACGAAAGCAGCAAATCCCTCTCCGACAAGATGTCGAGCCTTCCAAACAGCGCGGACTCTCATCATTCCTCTGTTTTCAGCAAAGTCTTCTCGAGGTGAACAAATGTCATATTACATTGATAATATTATCGATAAATAATATCGATATTTGACTTACTTTTATACAAATATATGACATTTTTACAATCGCTTTTATCTTTTCACACACTTGTACTTAAGTTTTAAGAATGTTTTAAGAATGAGTAACATTCTTGCAAAGATGCAGAAAGAAAAGGAACGAATAATCTTATCGCTTTTATTTTAACTTGCTTTTTGCGAATTTCTATAGAACATAGTATACAAATGAGGTTATTTACAAGCTATTTCTTGCTAACTGGTGCGTTTGATCGTGTCTTTTTTTTTAGCAGATAAAAGTAACTTTATCTTCATGAAACTGATATAGCCTCATTTGTTATAATGTAGCATATATTAGCTACTTGCATAGGAAGAGCTTCTGGCACTTAAAAAGCATTACGGAATGCAAAACTCGTGAAAGAAATATATAAGTATGAAGGTACACGTTATAGACGGCCAATTGCACAGTCCAAAAGACTGATATTTATTTGCGCGGTCAATTATCACGTAACTCTGAGACATTTATGTTGCGCCTACGTTGCTTACAATACTAACTTAGATATTTATTAACGCTTTTATCTATTATTTCTAATGTAACTAACAAAGAATATGTAATGGTGGTGGAAAAAAGCTCGCCTATCAACCTGGTGAGTGACTTTAGCTCGGGCCTGTTTGCTAAAACCCCCAGCGAAGAGAGTGGCGGTAGAGCGGGCGGAACCCCTCCGCTTACCGCCTCCTCTCTCTCCCAGGACTCCAGCCTCAATTTCTCACCTGGTCCAGGAGGCCTCATTGGGTGAGTCTGGACCCGATCGTGTAACCTTGCATTGTTGTACTTTCCTCTTTTTCCCCAAGTCCTCTCTATTGTTTTTACCTGGTCTACTTATCATCTAATCGACTTCCGCATCTGTCGATTCGGAAACGTTCTATTTCAGTAGAATTCTCCTTAATGTTGTGATTAGAAAAGAGCATTATATTAATTCTAACAGATGTAAATGTTACAAAAATAAAATTATACGTACTACGCAATTATCAAAATATTCCGAGGATTCTGCTGTTAAAATGTTTCTCCCTTCCATACATTTTTCCATTATTTCGTTATTATTCTTTAATTTTGAAGACACTCTGGGGATTGAGGGCTCCTGCTTTCAGGTAAATCATATTATTTGCCGACAGACTCAGGCGATAGACACTGCCGATACTACTTTTTAGATCGCTTACAGCCAACGTATAATCAATTTAACACAGCTTTTAATATTCTCAAGCAGTTACATTTATCATTCGTCATCATTTGTATACTGGATACTTGACTGTGAATTCCCACTGCTATTGTTATTAAATATATCGCTTCTGAATTATATGAGAATGTACAAACTTGTGTTACAACTTTCAGTTAGATATGACAGTTATAACATGACATTTGTACTTGTCGTTCAGAAGCGTTTAGAATGTTGTCCTATCTAAGATACTCTCTATCTTTCTCATAATTGCACGTTTTACGAATTTCCTTTCAGACGCTCTTCCGTGGGTACTTTTATTAGACAGCAACCTTTAACATCTTCCGGCAGCAGCAGCGTCGATAGCAGTCGAGGTAGCAAAACTTCCGCGACGGCGCCGCGATTGGATTACCGCAGTATGGTCTCGGTTGAGGATATGCCGGAATTGTTTGTGAGTTTCGACAGTAAGTATCACGACCGCATAGAGACATATCCATAAAATATTGTATTTCATGTCCTATCGGAATGGATAGTCTAATAATTCATCAAGACATATACTCCAACAGACTTTCCTTTTACACAAAACACTTGTCGTTGTTACTTTCATATAACATTTAATTATTTGGTATCGATATGGATAGAAAAAAATTGATTAGTAACGATAAGGGGATGGCAATCGGGATTAATATATCACGCACTGCACTTGCCCGAAAAACGCATAGATAGCTTCTTAAACGGTGTTGTTTTGCCAATTTATTGTCTCTGTCTCAAAATTTTGAGCGCCTTTGGCTATGAATTATTATAAATTTTTGCGAAAATAATTATTTTCATGTTTCCTAAATTTCGTTAATATCGTCTTAAACTGCCAGGCAAACTCGGGACTCTAATAACCAAATGCGCTTACCTTGGTGTACATTAAAGTAGTCTATCATTATTTTAGATCATACTTGTTTGTCATTATCAGTTTCATATGTCATTTCATTAATTAAACGTTAAATATTATCACTTTTCTTCGATATATAAAATATTTTGAAGAGAAGTAACATAAATAATGCGGGTCTTATTTTATATAAATTAACTTTCTACTTCATCGATTTTAGGATTGATAAATACGTATTTTATCAAAATGGTATTTTAAGAAGAAGATTCAACTGAACAAGCACTTTTCATAACATATTTCTTTACAAACAAATTATATGTACGGATATACCTTCAGAATCTTGAAACCCTTTGTGCCACATTGCATGTGACGGACGCGTCTTGTTCCAATTAAATAATTTTTTAATTGTCACTCTAAAGCATACCTAGCATTAGAATTTCAAATTTTTCGTATGAATCTTTTCTATAATAATCGAATAAGGCATATAATAGCCTTTCGAGGCAAACTATACTATTCCTTACATTTTTTAAAATGTGTGATACATTCGATTGTTATAGATTTTTGGTAGTAACTGTTGTATATTTCTGCATTGATTGCTCAATCACGTCTTTCTGTCTCTCTTTCTCTCCAGTAATGTCTTATCTATTTCAGATTAGCACAACGGGTTTCATCATCTAGCTAGCAATATAGGTTCATACTAATGCAGTAATGTCATTTGTTTCTGTTGCCCCTCTAGTCCAAGCACCTAATTTTCCCGAACTCGAAGGCCTGGGTAGGTTCATACAGTATTAGCTTGCTCTCTTCTCCTTGTGCCGCGAATTCCCAATACTTCAGTTGCCTTCTCTCTCGTATACGTCTGTCGAACGTAACGATGTTTTTGTCTGATTTTATTTACTGTCATGCATTAAACATGATTTGCGCAACTTACGGGCGACCTTACACTGTATCACTGTAATGGTTATTTCCATTTCATCACCATTTCTTGCTGCACATATATTTTGTCAAAACTCTTCTACAATATCTGTGCAATATGTATATATTCATCTATCACGATTCTATTCTCGTTGCTACCGTTATATTTCTCTTTCACACGATAATTCTTCTACTCTGACACCCTCTATACTCTCACTTTCTTGTGGTAATGTGCTTGCCTCGTTTTCCAATTTTATTCAACCTATTTGTGTATTTGCGTGTCATTTTTAGCGATTCTTAAAGAAATAATCTCAGGAAATAATCTTATATATTTGTAAATAAATATATACGAGCTTTTTATCGCAACAAGATTTCTTTATTATCATGAAATTGTGAGTCATATTGCCTGGGTATCGCGAATTCTATATCGAAAAGATAAATCTGTCGATTATAAAACTCTTGTTACTCGAGTATCTGGTCTATATTGATAAATATTTTCCGCATTACGTAGAACTGATCCCACGACCTGCTCGTTCTTGCGAGGACCCACCGTTGTATCTGAGGCTACGAACGGGAAGACCCAAGGACAAGAAGATACCACGATCGACGCCAATTATGAGCTACGGCAAGAAGAAGCTGCGCCCTGAATACTGGTTCAGCGTGCCACGCAACAGGTAATTGTTTCTCACATTGCGATCTCTCACAACGTCTTATCCTTTGAATTATTGCAATTTGTTATGTAAAATACGCAAATATAATAGAGTTTATTAAAGAAACTCCGTCATTACAATTAAATTCTTTTAAATTATATAATATATTGTAATAATTTAAAGTTCAAAGTATTTACTACTAAAAGAGTACATGAACTTTGCGACCTTATTGTTAGATGATGCAGAAACTCAAAATTATGCGATATATAATGTTTCGACTTTTTAAATAAATTAATTACTAAAATGTTTTTTGATCAAATTTGGATCATGTTTTAAAATAGTTATATCAAATTTACAAAAAATTTATCGTCGATGGAATAACATTTCTGACGTTACGATTTTTTTTTATGCTCTTTGTTTTTCTCTGCGCAGTTTATTCCCGATACATTTAAACGCGGTAAACTGGAATTTTTCGGGATTCCCGTATTTCTGAAATTTTATAAAACAGGATTGGCGACCTTTTTTTAAATGTCTAACGAATTGTCGTCGGGAAAAACGAGTTACAGGCGCCATGGCGTCCGCGGTATAAGTCAATCACTTGATCGAATGCATAAATATTCGACGGTGATGTTTCTCGAGTAAAAACACGCCGGTAAATTTCCTTCGGGCGAAAACGTTCACTGCTGTTATTTTTGTGTATACGGCCGGTTTATATATGCGCATCTCCGCGAAAGAACGGCGACGCGGCGCCCGGAACGCGTTACGACCGGACACGTGCTTCGTCGCAAGACACGCAAAATAGATTTTCGCCGGAACTTCTATTTATACGCTCGCTGATGCTCGATCAAGGTTCGCTGCGCATCGGTTGTCAGTGTTTTTCTTCTTGTTGCATGTGTTTAAAGACCATTAGAATAACGCAATAATGAATACTTTGCTCGCATATACGAAATATAAATTTACATTTGATATAACACTAAATTTAAAGTGACGAGAATGCGCTACAATTTTTCGAATGCGCAACTTATACTGAAGCTATTTATTTTGTTTTTTTTTTATTCTATCGTATTTATTTTGTATCCCGAATAGCAAATGTGTGTCTTAATTTACACTGAAAGAAAGAGAGATGTGTCCCGCTTTGAAGGTTGTTGTTGAATTAAGATAACGATTTTGATTCTCGGAATTTCAAATCTGTCATCCACATGTATCACGATATTGTACAAATCTCGTTGACAGCTCTTTTTGAGTGCCACTTGTTTACAAATGCCATCAGCCATTTCGCAGTATCGCGATTGTATAGAGCGATACGCAATTAAGATCGGCTTAAGCTTCGTCTAGATTAAGATATATGTATATCGAGAGCGACCTCGTTTCCTCGTACCAATCTGAATTCTCGATAATCACTTTTATATATCATTGTCAGATAAATTATGAATTGCCAAAAATAGTACCCTCACTTAATGCCCGCAAGTGTTATAAGAATAAAATTGATACGCATCAGCAAGTGATAAAAGTAAGCTTCTTTTTTGCGTGCTTAATATACATATTAAACAAAAGTATAGGAAACGAAATTTCTCGTATCTGCTTTGAAAGATTCTTCTCAAGTCTTATATTTCTTATTAACTTATATTTATCGGATTCAAGCTTAAACATCATGAGCAAAGATTTTCTATAATAAAAAATTCCGATTGAAACTCGACGTTACTGTATATTGTGTCTAAAGTCACTAAATACGACATTTATCATTTAATCTATTATTGCATATCTTTTCTGTGTAAAACAGATATTTAGTAATCATGCGCCTTATTGCAGAGATGAGAGACTTTAGTTTGAAACTAGATAACAGTTCATAAATAAAATTTACAACGATGATGTAAGCTGTGAATAAAATTATTGGACTGTTTTAAAAAACAGATCGATGGATTAAGATTAATATTTTTTCTCTACGCGAGATAGATATGTGTGACGTTTTTCGCGTTACATTCGCGATTTGCAGTAACGGCATCTGACTAATGTTCATTTCTACCAGCATAGATTAACTTTAATCTCATTGTCAGTTTAATTTACTCTTTATTTTTTTCTAATTTTTAGAACTATAGAAAAAGATAAACAGGGTGGGTACTCAAATTGTTTTTGTAAAAAACATCCCTGAAAATTCCCGGATTTTCCAGGAATTTTATTCAAAATTCCAGGTAGGATTAGAGAATTTCTCAATACAATTTTAAAATAAATTAGGCACTAAGAGTTCTAATAACGTATAGAACTTGATGCGTGAAACAATTTAATCTTCTAATATGTAACTACATATGTGAAAATTAAATTGTTTCACGCACCAAGCTCTGCGTTATTAGACTCTTAATACCTGATTTATTATTTCCGGATTATCGTTTTTTAGATTGAAGAGTCTTCATATAGTATATGTCAATTTTAAAATAAATTAACTTTCAATATCAGGGGCCTTCGATATGGGTTTCACGTTTACTTTCTAAAGGGATAAAATTAAATTTCAAAAATTCAAAAAATGTCCCCGAGTACCAGTAAAATTCCATGAGAATTCATGATTTTCAAGGGCAAAAATGAAATTTCTTGAGAATTCCAGGTTTTCCCGATTTTTCCTGGTAGTATCCACCCTGATAAAAAGTAAGTTAAATCGAGATTAAAAGTTACTATCTATACTAGTAGAAATGAACATGAGTTAAATTAAAATTTGACTTTGTGTCGCGCTATTTTAGCGACCGGAGAATAATTCTTTGTATCGACTCGAGAATGTGATTTGTGTGCAAAAGTATAAATTTTATAACTTTTTATCGTCGTAAATATGCGACGGAAAATGCGCGTTGAAATGATTTTTGAATTTTATTTGAAATCAGATTTTGCATTTTGTTCAGAGGAAGGATTTTGTACTCGCCGTAAAAAGAGAGAAAAAAAACCGCGGAAAGCCTTGGCTGGGTAAAAAATTGAAACAACACATATCTGCGCGATACGGAGCGAGCGATGTAGTTCCGCGAGAGACGCGTAATATGCCGCGTACGCGAATTGCGAAACAAAAGTGCAGGTGTACCGAGCGAATCAGCGGGCACGTGACACGTCTGATTCTGTCCGCTGTCGACGACGTCGACGTATCTGGTAGCCACCCAGCTCCGTTTTCCGGTCGTACTCCGCTCGCTCCGCTGCACGTACATACATACGTTACGCGGCGACGCGTGTTTCGCCTGAAGTGTCGCGCGTTACCTACCTACACATCCCGGGGGCTCCGTGGCGTCGCTCGGGGGACAACCCGCCGCGAATCAATCGTCGACGTGTCGCGCGTAAATAAAAAAAAAAAAGTATCGCGCGACGAGAGGCATAGCAATTGTCGGGAGGTTAGAAACGGGAAGCCGCTGATAACGCGAACGCGAGCGCGACGTCTACGCGCGGCAAGCGAATCGGGTCTGAGTGCGGTGGTCTGACAATTCCGTCCGCGCGCGGCGTGACTTCGGCGGCTGGCTGGCTGGCTGGCCCGGACGCGCATTTCTCATTGTTCGCCACTTCTCTCGTTCACCACTACGACACGGCGATGAATCGGGCGATGAGCGCGGTCGGCGGTATGCTGAATTTTATTTATGACCGTCACGTGAGGGAAACGGTGACGAGCGTGATGCCCTTCGTGCATCGCAGGTAAAACGTGGCGCGCGGCACGACGTCCTCGGCCGCGGCGCCGCGGCGCAAGGACAAGTCGCGAAATGTCACATAGACATTGTTATTAGAGATGAAAAAAAAAACAGTTTTTTTTTTATTTTAAAGCAAAGAAGCAAAAAATCGGTTTTTTTTACTTTAATAAAATGTTTTTTTTAATCCTGAAAAAATAACATTGATTTTTTTGTATTTATCGCTAAAACACTTACTATCTGTGTGATTTCGGTATTTATTTAATATCTTTTGTCATTCATGAATTTCCTAATGATTGATAAACACAAGAGAAATGTGTTTGTTCAAACAACATGAGCTTTGAATTCTAATTGCTACTCCCTACCGATAATGATCGAACAAGTACATTCATGGTCATTTACAATTATTTATTTATAATTATTGCACATTTTAATAGTTTACAACTATCTTTACACAGAAATTTTTCAGATGAATACAAAAATTGAATTCTAGAACAATAATATGACGTCGAATGTTCAAAAAAATATATATTCAAATAAACAACTTTTAGGGTCGGGTAAAAATGATTTTTTACTCAGTTTCTAGTTTTTTTTAATAATTTTTATTTCTAGACATTGTTGAATTTTATTTATAAATTTTTATAATTTCTAAAACTAAGAGCTATAAAATTACCTCTTTTTTCACATGATTTGTTCTTTGGTTGAAAAGAAATTGCGGATGTAACGTGAATCAAAAATACATAATGTGTCTCTCGTAGCAAAACAAAAATATTAAATTTTAATCCATGATTGGGTTTAGATCGCTTCAATTATAGTTTTATTTTTAGCTTGCTATTATTGTTGAATTATTTGTATTAACTCTAATTTAATTTTCAATTAAAATCTCGAAAACTAGCAATAAGCGGTATAAAATATCTCCATACAAACACAATTTATTCTTTGAGCGATATAAAAAATTATTTTTTTGATAAAAAAACGTTATATCTCGCATAGTAATAAAAATATTAAATTTATCATGGTACGTCAATCTATTTTTAGATCGACATGTTACTCCAATATTCTTTCTTTATTTTCAGCTTACATCATCATTGAATTTTGTTTACAAATTTCTTTGTTACTTTTTATAAATTAAAATCTTTAAAACTAAAAGTTGTAAAATTAATCTTTACATTTTATACAATTTTTGATAATTACACGAAATTTTCCTTGAGGTTTAAAGTCATTTATGTATATTTAATGTTTTATGATATATATTATTATGTATTTTGGCTTCTAAACACAAATCTGGGTATGAAATATTTCTTTTTATCTTTATCATTATCATGTCTCTATTAAGATTTTAAGAATTCTATTATAGCCACATTAAAACTTCTATTTTGAATTTTTAAAATTTAAACTTAGATTTGTGTTCAGTGATTTTGAAAATATAAAAGTATCATATTTTGTGGAAATTTGTCTTTTAGAATTAAATGTGCCCCTGAATAGGTTCATAGATTAGGCAAGATTAGTTTTAGTAAGATTAGCTACAACCTTAAAACTACTCTTGTTTGATTTATTTTTTATCTTACAACGATAGATAAAAGATTACATTTTTCCGTTTTGCGAATCAAATTTTGTAGCATAATTTACAGTTATTCACTATCGAAAAATGTCAAAATTACCATTTTTAGCAACTTTTATAGTAGCAGATTTCTCAAAATCTTGATGTGATAGAGACATTTCACACCTACATTTGTGTTTAACAGCTACAAATATATACGAAATGACTTGCTTAAGGCAAGAGAAGTTGATTTTTTTTTGCTCAGTATTACCGACATTTGATATTTTATCGATATAATCGAGAAATTATTTTGTAGTCGAAAAAAAGTGCTAATTTAACACGAATTAAAAACGTATGTTTTTACAATTCTCATATGTTTTTAATTTGCGTTACATCTTGTAATAGCAAAAATATTAAATTTTAATCCATAATTGCTGATCTGTTTTTCGATTGCTTTAAAATCTTCAGCTTGCATTATCGTTGAATTTTATTACACTTGGTTTTAAATTAAAATTTCTAAAATTAAGAGGTATAAAATTATCTCTGCACAATTTGTTTTTGAATTGATATGAAGAATTATCTAGTTGAAAAGAAAATGTCAAACAAGAAAGTCACATATGTGTCTCGAACAGTAAAAATATTAAATTTTAATCGTCGCGACGTCATTTTTAAATTATTCCATTAACTTTATCTGCAGTTTTTTTTCTTACTCTGAATTTGGTATATAAACTTTTCTTATTTAGTTTTAAAATCTTTAAAAGTAAGAACTACAAAATTGTCTCTCTTTGCAATTTATTCTATAATTCTATAATTAAAGGGGGTAATATAAAGAATTTTCCTCTAATCGGAAAAAATCACGAATGTAACACAAATAAAAAATGTCACATATGCATCTAACATGTTGCGTATAATAGCAAAAATATTAAATTTTTATCCGTAACGTCGGCCTGTTTTTAGTTTACTTCCTAGTTTACTATAATAACCTTATCTTCAGCTTGCATCGTTTGGCACATATTTTATGAATACTTACGATACTTATCTAGTTTCAAACTATATATAAAATCTCTTATCTGTTTAGCGATAATATTATGAATATTCTTATGTTTTATACAGAACGAATACATCAATAGACTAACTAATAATACTAATATTGTTTATTAATTTATAATGGTATTTCCCGACGATACACTGTATCAAATTTCAATTCCGAAACTTTTTGCTGTAGAAAAATTTTCTACTAGTATTTAATTTGATAACTTGATAAATAAGTTAACAATAAATATTGAAATTAGAAATTTTTTGCTTGTCGCATCGCCGAACAATGTCGCTGATGTTTTCTATCGTTTTTTTCCCCTTCTCTTTGCAGAGTGGACGATCTGTATAGGTTCATTCATGCGTGGGTGCCGAGCCTCTACGGCGAGCTGGATGAGAACTACTGGCGGGAACGCGGCTACATCCTGTCCGATACCGACACCGACCTGTCGCCGGAACTGTCGCCGCAGGAGAGTGGCGAGGGCGCGGATTCCACGGAGGAGAGCAAAACTGGGCAAGACGAAATCAGCGAGTTGACAAGGGAATCCTGGGAGGTGAGTATCACGGCTGTCGAGATGCGACGGGACGTCGCCGAGTGTCCCGTGGCACTTTTCTCGTATCTAGGTAGAGATATTGTCATAAAGTTGCTACTAAAGATTGAAGAGTCTTGAAAACTTTTGTTCTTGATAGGTGAAAAAGAATTTTACTTTGCCGGGTAACTTTAACATTTTTGTTCATCGTTTGTAAGCCTATCATTATTGTCTGCAACTTGATCTCCAATTCAGCAGAAATTCGAGTCTCGCGTTAGTATAAATATTTAGTGCGAGAAATATTGGATTCGACCGTCACGATCTTTGATTTAAAAATTCTTGCAGACAAATTGACTTTAGATTCGAATGCAAAATTAGACGTCGTTTCGAATTTTGCAGTATCGTATAACTCGCGAAGAGAAAGAGATTGCTGTTTCTGATATTTTTTTAAAGCGCATCGGTCTCTTTTTCCGTGACTCTTGCGAACATTCTTAATTTCGCTGATAACCTGATCCTCGTGTCGATCGGCTATCAAATAGCGCCGAGATACGCTAAATGTTTCGCGAAATCACGAGCGTGCGATCGACCGTTATCGATGGTAACATCAAAGGCCACTCTATTCCGGCGCTCGTTGTTGTCACGTTTACCGTCAAACGCGCTGTTGATTTTCGACGCGAGGATCGCGCGAGACTCGGTGTACCTCAATGACCGCGATCGAGGATATTTGTTAAACACGGCCGATTCTATTGGCCGACAGCTGATCAAGGCCCCCTACGTAAAGCTGTACAGCATCCTGAAGACCTCGAGCACGTCGGCCGATTCCGAGCAGATCCAGGATTCGGAGGTACCGATCACTCCGCCCATCTCCCCGGTGATCGATGATATCTGTCATTTAGACACCCTAATTGCTCGATGTTGAACAATGCACCTTTTAGATAACACTGCCGCACCCTAGATAAACCTTGTGTTAGATCTCGGGTGCACTCGACGTTGTCACGCGATGTTTTGCGGCCGTGCCTATCGTTTAACCTTTTTCTTTCCTTTTCTTTTTTAGCCGACTTTTTCAGCCCGCTTTGCCCGCTTCGATTGTTCATTTCGGTACATTCGATTTACCACGACATATAGTACATTAATTCTCGTGATACGAAATAGAGTCTGTAAAGAGTTCTCTTTACGATCTTGTTGTTCACAGTTTTGCTGTCTCATTCACGCCCTCGCGTTGATCCATAATAATGATATTCCTGCAGACCAATACATATGAGAAACTTCTTTTAGTAAATTTATTCGCTTAACTCGCTCTTAGTACTTGGGTTTGGGTCTTATTCGAGCTAGGTTTATCTTGCGGTTCTTATATCTCTCGACAAATCGCATATCACTCGCCGAAAACGAATTGCATGCACCTGTTCCTCCTGGTCGTAGAATATACTCTCAACTAGAATCTAGATGAATGTGCAGCATGCACTTATTCGATACTCTCCAACTCGCGCATGCATAATGTTTTTATCGTATCACATTATTATTCGTCTCTTTCTTTCTCTTTTTCTCTCTTTTTCTCTCTCTGTCTCTCTCTCTCTACATATATATTTATATGTCTGATGAGATGTTTCAACAAAAGTTTACAATTTCTCGCAGATTTCTATCACGCTGCGAGCGATTTGAATTACACTTGCAAAAACACTTTCCATGCTCAGCCGATTCTTACGGTGCGGCTTTATGCAAATCGGTATTGCGTCGAAGACGATAAAGATTATCGATTCCAAGGCGAAATGGTAATTGTGATAGACAGCATCGTGTGTCGTGTGTCGTGAGTGCGGATTCGAAGCGAAGAAACGCAATAGCAGTTAGCTGGAGTATAAAAGATCGGAAGTCATTCCCATCGATTGTTTATGTTCTCTTAAAGAAAATATCTAACGGTGGTAGAGGGATCAGTCTCTGTATCATTAAAAAGAATTTAACTTAACATCGACTTCCTCGAAACGGCGTTGAACGATCAACGTTTCTAACTCGTTTACGGAAGAATGAGGTTTGGACATTCATTATAAATACTGCGTATACCTTGTGTGATGTAAACGTGCAACAATGTAGATCATCTTGTGTCAAGAGTCATACTCTATGAACTAGTCAGCGCTTGCATAATATCGATGCATTATTGATGAGAATTGACACAGTCGGTGTAAATTGACACAGATGTAGCAGATAACATTTCTTGAGAGAATATCTTTCATGCACTCGGTTGTTTATAACAACCGGCAAAAACATGCAGGTTAAATTTTTTCTTTTTTTTGTAAATGCCAGATCAGATTAAATTGAAAACGCTTCGATCCTTGTTTTTAAATATTAGCTTATTTTGAAAAAAATAAAGATATATATATATATATATCGATAAGTTAATAAACTTTTGAATTCCATTGTAAAAGTAAGCTAATAATACAATTTTATCGTATCGCATTATTTTAAATAAAAACAATTATTAGTAATCGAATTGAGATACGGCATATGCTTATCGTAATCAGATAATATGATGATTTCAGATAATAAAAATTGATTTAACAGTTTCTTCTGTTGTAAATTCGAAGAATTTTTTCTTATTCACTTAGTCATTCTACTGTCTTTACGTAATAGAATTAATTATAAATTTGCTTGTAATAGGAAAATATGCTTTGTCAAGTATTTAAAAAAATTCATTGGGAACAATGTATTTAATGAATAACAAAAGTTTCTATAATGGAGTTCATAAATCTTCGAAGTATTGTTCGAAGTATTGTTGTAGAAGTAACTAACTTGTGGGAAATCAACGAAAAATATTGATTAATCAAAAAGATCATTATGATACACAAATGCGTATAATCCATTCACCATTCGAGTATTTTTTTTTGTCCTCGAACACTTCGCGATTTGACCGTTTAAAAATAAACGACAGAATGTCAAGCTTCGGGTATGCTTTCGCTTATTTTTGGATGCTCGCGCGGCGTTTATCGTAAAGCCGAGCATAATTTGCCGTTTAGAAATGCATTGACTTAGATTTCGCTTGACTATAATAGTTTCCCGCAAAGTAATACCATGAGGAAAACTTTCTGTGGAAATACAGTGTAAGTTATATTAATTTTATCGGTGGATGTTTGCAAGATAATTAAAAGTGAGAATAATTACTTCCGAATTACTTCCAGAACTTACAATTAAAACTAAGTTTACAACTGGCGTAAGAACAAAGATAGGATTTAACGAAATAAATATAGATATCTCAGGCAGCTGTAAATGACTATTGAAGATGAGTGATTGGCAAATATATTTTAAAATATTTTCCACAATTACATTCTTCTGTTCTACGGAATCCTTTGAAATTGAACATAATATATACAATTTTATTTCTTGGATCTTGCCCAAATTGACGTCGATTTGAATCTGCGGACGACGATTCATGCTGACGAAAGCATTCGCAGGGAAGAAATTAAAATTATGAAAGACTTTTAGAACACGTGCTGCGCAGATGAGAATGCGCAGTAGTGAGGAAAGCATCTGCCGAAGTATATACGTCACGAAGCATATACGTTTTCTTCCCCCCCTCCTCTTAAGCTTCATCACTTGTATGAATGTATTAGATTTACTCCGAAAGCTTCAGTACGGCTTTAGTCCTCGCGAAGTGAAGTTCACTCGTTAAATGACTCGTCAGTATAAATAAAAAAGGGAACTAATTAATATAATTGGTATGCAGTGATGTTAAGTAATATTGACTATTTTAGACGCTGCTTTGATTAAACCAATTAACTCGTCAGAATTATCAAGTGGGCAGTATTAATATAAACAAGTTCTCACAATCTGTGATAATTAAGAAACATTAGGAAAGAACTAAGTTATATCGATTCGTGGCTCGTTTTACTTCTTCAAAAAAACTCTGTGTGTTCCTCGAAAAAATACAATTTGAGGCATGATGTAAACGACTTGCACACGATTTTCCATTTGTGAACGAAGGAGCGAAGGATCGGGAAGAAGGTGCCGACCGCGATTTTTAGTGTCCGTCGAAGGTAACGCGAGTGATCGAGGATGCCGAGGCCAAAGATGCCGAATCCGATCGTCAAGATCACGAAATTCCTGAAACAGAAAACGAAGGTAAAAGTCAGAGTTGAGGCGAACGTACACGCGTTTTTTTAACCACGTCTACTTCTCCACGCGATGCAAATGTCTCCAATTGTGAGATTGTCAGGAATGTTAGTTTGGTAATCAATTTAATTATGTAATATAAATAAGATTCTGCTTGGATGCCCGATCATATCGAAATGTTTTAATCTGGATCCCACATCAGATGTCACAAAATCGCGTAATTCGGGATTTTAAATTAATGTAAAAAATTTTTAAATCGTAATTATGCTTCTTTTGAACACAAAAGCTTGGTGATAATAATAATTTCTTTTGTAATTACAGTTATTAATATTGTAATTATATATTATATATTACTTTGATATATTTTTGCCGTATTATTACTGACTATCATTTTTGTTTTATTGTACAAGATACGTACGTATATACGGAGTTACTCACGCTCAATATATTAATTTATTTATCTACGAACATTACTCTCAGAAAGTTTCATCAAGATAAATAATTATTTGCGTACGCATGGAAAGAATGATTTTGCTGGATTCAGATCTGAAAATAATCTTTGTTATACAATCAAAATAATTTTGTTGAAAAGTCAAACTGATTGCTAGAGTATCAAAATAATTTTGCTGGAAAGTTAAAAATGCTTATCATTTTTGTCTTTCCAACAAAATTATTTTGATGATTCAACAAGAATTATTTTCAGATCTGTTTAGCAAAATTTTTAGACCTTCCAGCAAAATCGTTCTTTCCGTGCAGCACTGTTCGATGTAATGTTTAGGACGGAAACGACTTTAACAATTTGTGTGTATATACCACAAAATACCGTGCATTTGCTTGTGATCTATTTCGTATAATTTGCACATTAATGACTCGAGAAGAGCGGCGCTTTGCAAGAAACGTATTTAATAACCGGTCTTCGAGCCTAAGCTCACCTTTCACCGAACCGTCACCTGCAAAATGCGCCGCTTGGAACTAGTCGGCTTTGAATTGTGGCAATCATTCGATTAATAAAATACATATTGTCAGTTATCATTCGCATAGCAGCTTGCATTTGAAATAGCAATAGAGTTTAGAGATGAAAAAGGTGAAAACTTTTCCAAGGAAAAGGAAGAAAGACGGTATATCTTGCTCCTCTTGAGACATATTCAAACAAGTGCGCTCAAGTAGCTTTGGGAATGTATTTATAGTAAGAACAAATTTAAAGAAGGTAAAGAAGGAATTTAAAGAACGTAGTAAACAGATTTAAAATGTTGGATATATGTATAGCGACAATTTATGTAATAAAAAGACCAATTTATTACAATTGAACATAGAAAGTAATACGATTATCAAGTGTAATAAATAGTTGGGATTTCGATATGCAGAAAAAAGGAATTTTTGGGATAACAAAATAAAATAGTTTTACTATTTTTTTATTTTTGATTGACCGTGAACTTTTGCTACGTGATCTGTGAATAGGAATATATATATATATATATATATATATATATATATATGTATATACATAAGAAATTCAAACAGCACACAGGAATAAATTTATTCCCACGGAAATAAAATTAATCAGATATTTTTCCTGGTTTTTCTGCTATTTATTTTCATTTTCATTTTGCAAATTTATTCTCGAAACTTTCCACAGAATTGTATAATCGCAAATGACATCGGCGGTTATGCTTTGAAAGACAAATGGAATCTGTGGAAAAGATTTATTTCGAAACATTAGTTCTTGTCGCAATGATTAATAGAATA